CATTTTAGGTGGAATAGTTTTGGACGGCATATATTTCAATTCAAATATGGCGGCTCAATTTCATGTGCAAATTGCGGCTCACAAACATAAATATATATATCTATATATATATATATATATATATATATATATATATATATATATAATATTGCAAGAAGAAAGTGGTGCAGCAGCGTAGCGCAGAACAACAAAGTGACGAGTGATATTACCATTTGTAATCTTATAGTGAGTTAATATAAAATCTAGTTGCGCCCGTGGACGTAGGATTTACACCGAATCCGAACCACGTAAAATCCTTGTGTTCCTTCTTGCTTTATTTCCTTCGTGTGTTTGTGTGTGTGATAGTGTTTCCGCTGCGTGTACCCTGTCTCAATTCCTAACAGTCGTAATTGAGACCATTGCTTACTTAAAGCAATCCCATCATTCTTGAGTCCATTCATCCATTGCTTCCTATAGAGAATGCATTACCTTTTCTCAAGTCAACGATTCACGTGCATGAAGCAATCAAAATGGGCGACATATTTAATTGGAGCGTGTAGTGGAAATTTAGTTGGGGGGGGGGGGGGGGGGGGGTAGGGTTTTCAATACTATATTCTCTCTAAAACAATTGTACAAGAAAGATAATTATTTTAATAAGATTTTATGTTAAACCGTATTGTCAAAACTAACAAGATACACATATTAATTATACGTTTACAATATAAAAGATATGATTATAAATAACCAAGTTATTAGTTATTTTAAAATACACGTTATCTAAAACTATCATTAAAAAAAAAAAAAAAAAAAAAAAAAAAAAAACTTTCATTTGGATGAGAAAATTGTAGAGTAAATTACACGAATGGTCCCTATGGTTTACGGTAATTTATGCGTTTGGTCTCTAACTTATTTTTTTAACTCGGAAGGTCCCTACTGTTTGTTTTTGTTACGTGCTTGGTCCCTGTCTTACTTAAAAACACTATTTTGCCCTTGATTTTCTAATGTATTTAAATAAACACAACTCCAACCCCACCCCCCTCACCTTACATTACCTACCCCACAATTTTTCCATATTTAAATAATAGTCTTTTTAGGTAAGACAGAGACCAAGCGCGTAACAAAAACAAATAGTAAGGACCAAGCGTGTAACAAAAACAAAGATTAGGGACCTTCCGAGTTAAAAAAATAAGTTAGGGACCAAACACGCAAATTACCCCAAACCATAGGGACCATTCATGTAATTTACTCAAAATTGTACGGATCTAAAATGGTAGGTGAATTTGGGATCAGTGATTGAGGAAACACTTAAGATTTAATCAGATAAGTAATGAAGACAATAATGAGATTATGACCGATACCTTTTTTTTATTCTTTTAACATAAATATATTTAAAACTCTAGTTTCATGTAGCATTAAAAAGAAATCGTATATTGTATCTAAAAAAGAGTTTTATTATAAGTATCTTGATCGAAAATTATGAATACACGACTAACCAAATATCATCTGAATAAAATAAAATATTTTAAATAACTTAATCATAATTCATAACAAAACGTATAAATTTAATAAATTAAAACCAAAACTTTTAGTTACTTGACAACAACCACACACGGGAAGTGCACCCCCACACACACCTACAGACAAAAGAAAGAATCATAGTACTAGATTCGTGTTCACACTGGCTAGATCCGGTTCCTAATCCCTTTCACACTCAAAATATATCCGGTTCGTCCGTTAAACCGGCCATCAAACCAACCAACGTCACTTACTTAATATAAATAAAATTAAATACAAATAATGTCCCCCAACTATTTTTAAATCACTAATTTTAGTTCAGTGACATATTCTTTTTTGGCATTTACTTCAACATAATTATTTTTTTAATCATTAATATTAGAAATCAACATCTTAAAGATTAACATTATGTTTCTGATTTTTCAATTATGAAAAAGAATAATGTAAAATAGGTTGTGGCCCCCCTTTTTTTTTTTTTTTTTTTTTTTTTTTTTTTTTTTTTTTTTTTTTTTTTTGCTTATAACTAGTTTAACCCACAAATTCTTATATATATTAGCCATGAAAATATAAAAATTAGGCTTTGGCCCTGCTGTTTTTTTTAAGAACTATAGTTTTAGTTTTGGCCCCCCACATAATTTGTTCAAGCTCCGCCACTAAGAGCAATGATAAAGATCGATGATAAAGTTAAATAGACTAAAATACCCTCATTAATGTTTGTGTTCTGTTAATTTTTTCGACAAAATTTGTACTAATCTTTTTCTTCAAATGGTTTTACCGATATAATGTCAATAGTAAAAATGACCAAATATAATAATGAGTTGACAATTCAACGGTAATGGATACTTGATCTACTTACATACATTATTTTTACATGTGTTTTTTGAATTCAACCGATATAGTTAATTTATTTTTGATTGAACATGACTTTTATTTTTTTATTACAACTTATAAGTAATTGTAATCAATGATGTTTCTTCAAACTAGGCGGACCTAATTAAAAAACAACAAAGACTAAAATTTCAATTTTCATATAGCCGACTCAAAGCATTTCGGGATTAATCAAACCGTAATTGACTAAAAATCAAAATCATAAATGAAATCCATAAAAGGTAGGACCGAGCTTTTGCACATCTTGGTATGACTACCCATATTTGAATGTTTATTATAAATATTCAACACTTAATAGATTATTGATTGAACGGCATGTACACACAAAAAATAATAATAAATACTTTTGCAATCACAAATAACATACCAAAAACATATTAAATTGTATATATCAAGTCAATTATTATAGTATTTTATAAGGAGTAAATAAATATGCATTATGCATACAACATATGTCGAAATTTTAAAAAGAATGAAAAGTCGACAGCAATATATAGTTGTTTATTAGATTATGATGATGATTAACCTTACACATAATTAATATGTAATTAAAAACTATGCTATAACCGTTTCGATTTTTGTATCTAATAAATATTTTCAAAAATCTTTGTATGAAATAACTCTTCCCTTGAATAAAATTATAATCAATCCATAAATTTCAACATCCTTAAATATATCATTTTCCCTTTACTACTGCATACTACTTATCCTTTTTAAGTTTTTTCCGTTAAACTTTTTAACCTTTTTCATTTGACATGGTAAATAAAAAAAAAAAATTACTCAAATCGATTTATTTAATAACTGCATACTACATTGAGTATATCACAATATTTATTAATAGAGAAATTAAAAATGATTTTATTTTTGTTTCTACATATCATCTTATCAAATTAAATGATGACATGAGTCATATTAATATATTAAAATAACATTAAGTTACATATATCAATATTTAATTGGATAGAATGATTTATAGGAATAAAAAATAAAAAGATATTTAATTTCACTTATTAAAAAGGTTGAGCATTAAGTCTAATCGTGAATATATATAATTTAAGAAACAGTTTAAGAATATAATAATATGTTAGATTTGTTGTTTTTTTTAAAATAAAATAATAAATGAACTAGATTTTAGATATTATAAAATAAGTAGATTAATTATTGAGTAATTGAGTTTGGTAGTTGGGATAGGGTCAAACCAACTATACGTACTGCACCTGCCAGGTAGGACACATTGACACCATCCTACGTGGCCATCCACATCTCTTTGACCCTTTCTTCTTAACCTATACGTACACGCTTTTTTATATATATCCACCCATCGTCACTCTTATATATTATTCATAAACACCAATCGGATTCCCAAATAATCTCTGCTTTCTTCGTTAAATTTCTGAAAATCCAAGAAATCGAATGGGAAACTGCTTGAAAAAAGATTACGACAACCAATGGGGCGGCGATTATTGGGGATCTCCAGCAACATCGCCAGAAAAAGCGCTACTTTCATGCGAACCTCGCAGTACAGGTGAAAAGAAGTTAGTGGCCGGAGATGGAAATGGAGATTCCGATGACCTTTTTCCTTCTTCCGGCAGTAAAAGAAAAAGACGGACGACGGAGGTGAAAATTAAGATAACGAAGAAACAATTGGAGGAGTTATTGGGTATGCAAGAGATGCAAGGGTTGACGTTACAACAGGTGTTGACTCAGTTGATGAACAGCAGTAGTAATATTAATGGAGGATTTGAATCAAATCAACGGCCATGGAGACCTGCGCTTCATAGCATACCAGAGTAACTGTAATCCTCTACATGTATGTTTAGTAAATTAAACGAGTGTAGTGATTGAACATATTTTTAATTTCATTTTTGTAAATAGTGTCTTGAATTCAAGATTTTCAGCGAGTATGAATTATAGGTTTTTCATGTAATGTACAAAATCTTTCATTTTTTAAATCGACATGATAAGTTGAACTTACTAGCGGTTACAAATCATTCAAAGCAGTTTCCATGGCTTTCTTCCCACTCCAGAGAATGATCTGTTCGTCTTTATACAATATAGGCACACAAGGTACCAGATCCTGTGTTAAAGAGCCAATAGTGAAACAAGATTATCGGATTTTTTATCAAAAAAAGACATAAAGATGGAAACTTTTTATCACATGATTTGATTATAAGTCAGAAACCACATACCCTTAGCTTCACAGCGATCCTTTTGCAATCGCTCATATCCACATGGGCACAATCGGATAAATTGGTGGATATGGCTTCCATAGCATTAAGGGAACGAGAGGTCTATTCTTGGGGTTGTAATTTCGTTCACGATAGAGTAGCAAGATGTTAATGTATGAAATGAGTAGTTGTTCACTTTTTTGACACATAGAACGTATGGAAAAACTACTCATTTCATACAGTTAGTAAAAATGTGAAATGTCTTAGAAATAGAAAGAAACATGATTATGCATTTCGTCATTAAATTCAACTGTAATTGTCCATTCAAGATTCTATAAACAACATAAACCCATTGAATCTTTTTACTTTTCAAAGATGATCACTGAAAGCACAATCTAAAATCAATCATAAGTTCATAACAAGGTCTTCTACATAGACCTGATTTCACTTTCAAACTTCAATCTTTTCATCCTTGCATCTCCTCTGATCTACAACCATTGACTCAAAAACATCCAACAAACAATCCAAACCTTCAAGATCTTCTCCCCCAAGTTCTTTGAGCGCATAAACAATGCTCTCAATCGATGACAAACATCCAGCTTTTGGTTGTCGCCTCACTTCACCATACAAACTCAGCTCATCAATATCCAACTTCAAATGTGGCAACAGTTTCAACCATGGATTTTCATTGTACATCTTTGTGGCTTTAGACCATGTTCCATCTAATACAATCAAATTCTTGACACTGAAATTAACATCTTCTATCCCAATCGAATTCTCACTTGGGAAAAGAAGCAATGATCCTGGAGGAACTTCAATTAGAAATTCTTCCATGTATTTGTGATCACTCCCTCTCTGCGTCTTTTTCACAGTAAACCCATTTCTTACTCCATCAATCGCAACCAAAAGCTGATTAAAATCTTGGTTTTGATCCCAATTATTCACAAGAGATGTGATGGCACCTTTTTTCTCAATAGTGAAACTGATATCAGCAGGTGATAAATGTTCAATCTTTTTGCTGTTTTCGACTGAATTACGAGGACCCATTTCAGGATTAGATTCGGAAAAGTGTAAATCAAAGTGGGCTTCAGAAAGAACATCTGAAACACAAATTACATCGATGTTCTTCAGACCTAGTTTTGCTATTTTAGCTGAATTGAGTGGGTGTTTCTTCTCCACGCTGTGTTGGAGAACTGTGACGGCTATGGAGTTTTCAAGAATTGGGGTTTTAATTCGAGTGCAGAGGCAGAAGCTAGTTGGTCTTGAACAAGATGGGCATGTGGGTCTTCGATTATCAGGAGCAGAGAGAGTCGCCATTGCTAGGGTTAGGGTTTGAGGAAGATTGATGACGACGGGTGGCGGGTTCTGTGGAGATTTGAAAATGGAGAAGAAGGGGTTGCTTCCAGTAGTTCGTAAACGGATTCCAGATCCAAAGTTGGCGAACATTTCATTCGCATTTAACTATCCTAATCAAAACTGCTTCAGTTTGGGAACAAGGATATGGGTCATGGACTCATGGAGGCTCATGGGTAGTCTGTAGTCAGGTAGACAAAGTCTCGATTTTCTGCGACTTTTTTTTTTAATCATTTTCATTGGATTACATCATTACATATTCTTTTTATGTTTCTATAGATTTTGATAATTTTAGTGGTCTTTTTTATTTTGAACCTCAAACAATATTTCTTATTATATATTATACATAACATTAAATTACCATTAAAAATAAATGATTTATGAAAGGATAATGACTTAAAAGGGTAATATATTTTTCGTTTTTTACATATTTAGTCACTAAGTTTTTTTTTTTTGGCATATTTACCCATTCAACTTGTTAAACTGTATACATTCAATCCTTATGACTGGTTACTCCAGGTTAGCCAGGAAAAATGATTTAATAGGGTAATATATTTCTCATTTTGTACACATTTAGTCATTAATATTATTGTACACATTTAGTCTTTAGTATTTTGTTTCAAAATAAGTCATTTTTGTTTTTGTACTAATTCAGTACTTACAAATGATTTCTTTAGATTTTTCTAGTGTTGTAAAAATCGATCTAGGCAGCCGATTAATCGGCGCCTAGGTACTTGGCGGCCTCCAACCGCCTACGAATAGGTGTTAGAGGGTTAATTAATCGTGTAACGCCCCGACTCTCAGGTATAAACTTTCAGTCTTGTATTTCCAACTTTTAAGGTCGACTCGACGAGTTGGTTGCCCTGACTCGTCGAGTAGGCACGCTTTTGGTCGCGGGTCTTAAGTGACTGACTCGACGAGTCGGTAGACGGACTCGACGAGTAGGAACTGATGGACGAAACCCTAATTTCCGGGGTTTCACACCCTATTTAAAGGATCATTAGCCTCCCTTGGCCTCCCCTCACCATCCCATTGAGCTCTAAAACCCTAATTCGTGTGTGTGTCTCATTTAGTGTGATTTTTCAAGTTGGAAGGAAGATTTTGTTGCAATGAGCTTGAAGACCAAGAAGTGTGAGGTCAGGAACGTGTGTAGATATGAAGTCTACCTCAGTTTAGCATCATTTGAAGGTATCAAGTCATTACCTTGAATTCTTATAGCTTAGATCCTTCTATATTTGAGTTTTGGGGCCATTTTGGGCATTTGGTGCTACATTTCGAGTGATGAACCAAGATCTGAAGTTGCAACTTCAGATCTAGGCTCATCTTGGCCCTTACAATCATAAAGTCTCAGCCTTAGCATGCTAGTGTGATTTCCTTTGCCTAGAACCTCTTCTTTAGCTTGATTTAAGTCATTAGCACCTTGCATGTATGTAAAGTTTGCAACTTTACGTAAGAAGTATGCCCTAGGAGCTTAGATCTACATTATGGAGCTTTGGAATGGCTTAAAAAGCATCTGAATGGAGAAAGACTGAAGGGACTCGACGAGTTGCAGGGTCAACTCGACGAGTCCGATGAAGATTGTCGTGCAAGGACTTTTGCATGGACTCGGCGAGTCAGTAGGATGACTCGGCGATCCAGTTAGGGTTCGGTCCGCGAAGGTGCAAGCATCAAATTTAACCTTGCCACCTTCCGGACAGGAACAGATCTCGAAGATTGATTCCGTCTTCTCGAACCATTGCGAGAGGGCAATGATTCCGCCAGTCCCGTTGAAGGACCTGGGCTTACAGTTGGTGAAGTCCTTGTAGGAGCACTCTCTAGAGCGCACTGGAGCATCACCTGTAGTGGGAGGCACATTAGTCCCACTCCCGCTAGTACCGGTCGAGGTGAATTGTGCTAGGGCTGCCGTAACAGCCGCATTTATAGCAGCTTGAATAGCTGCTGGGTTGTATTGAGGAGGAGGAGGTGGAGTTTGATTTAGAGTTATTGGAGTAGCGCGTATGTTCGATCTACGAGGAGGCATCTTGTTGCTATAAGTTTAAACAGATGAAGATATTGGTAAGAATTTAAAGAGAGAGAATGATGAGAGTGAAACATGGACTAACTCTCCGTAGCATAAAAAAACAGATGAGAGTATGATTGATATTGAGATCTAGTACTAGAAATATGAAAGCATTTGGATAATAATTTCCATGATATTAGATAACTGCCGATATTATGGGTATTACAGATGTAGCTAGTTCGGGAAAAATGACCTATACATCAAACCAAAATGAGAAAATTTCGACAGCATAGAGACCTAATAGACTGAAAGTTCAAGGTCCTAAGATAACATGAAATTTACAGGGGAAAAGTGTTACTTAGAGCATAGCTATGAAGGCTATTCCTTAAACCAAAAGAAAGGATGAGCAGAGCATCCCCTACTGGCAACGGGCACCTCTTGGGCGAACCCTCAAGTCAGCCAGTTGACGCTCTACATCGAGAAGGCGTCGTTCATAAACCCTTTGGCGTACTCGGAGCTCTATAACTTCAGCCCGAGTTGCAGCCAGTTCCTGCAGTAGAGACTCATTGTCTCTCGCAGTTCTCTCACGGTCATCTTCCAGTCGACGAATGTGGACAGTATTGATTCCAGCATTGCCATCAACCTCCACAATTCGGTTGAGGGCTGTCCTACCCTGTATTTCGTTACGAGAAACCCTGCGCACCAGAATAGGTAGGACTCTGTCCGCTGAGCCTCCTTCGCTCAGGTTGTAGAAAATTCGGTCCCCATTGTATGGCATGGGTTGTCTTTGTTCTTGACTCCATGTTCCCAAGTTTTCCGCCCACAGAGGCGTCGGGCCTTGAAAAGCCGGATGAGGGTTAGGGTTGGGGATTGGAGCTTCCAGAGGTAGATCGTTGACTTCTGGCTCGGAGTCAGAATCCTCAGGGAAGTTCTCTGTGAAGTCATCATCCAAAGAGATTGGATGATTCTCTTCTGGCTCTACGTCGAGCCATCCTCCGTTGCCTTGGTTGGGGAAGTACGGATATCCGGGTATATGGAATCCATCCATGATATCTACGCGAGAATAGGGGTAAAAGAAATAATTAATAGACGTACTAATTAAGATAATTATAATTTGATCCTTACCAGTTACTCCCATTTGCGTAGCACATACCAGTCATATGTGACCAAAACAGGATAGACCTTCGAATAGGTGACCCTAACTCTAAGCCCACAACCAAACAAGGAACAAGAAGTAAAGCAAAGATCACAGATTCTAAGTCTATAAAACCCTAGTCACATATAACCTTAGCGTATCCACTCCGCAACTATTGGCATACTAGTAAACACCTTTTTAGTTTGCACATAAGTAATTATAGTAACACAAAATACTCCTATAGTATTTTAAGTTTATGTTCTGTTCTAAAGTTTTCATTGTAGTAGTGTTGGTAAGTTTTTAGACTTGTTGCAACACCACAACCATTCCTGGGCACATGTTAATCACTTCTCGGAAAGATATAGTTGATCATGCTACATCACTCTCAGATCTGATTATATGTTCCCAAGCCTGATTGTGTTGTTCAACAATCGCAATACTTATGTTCTGTCCTATTGACACTGATTTTAGTATGAATGAAGGTATGTATACTTTGTTAAATATTTTTTAGTTAAAAGTATAAACTCTTGGTCAGAGTATTTTAATCCCGATGTGTTTATAGTTGTATATCTTTTGTGGGTTGATATACTCAATTCGCTATAAACAATGCTCTGATACCAATCTGTCACACCCCAAAACCGGAACGGCTGAAACGTTCGGGTGCGGAGGACGTCATGTACATCTTCTCAAAACATGGTCATCAGTACCTGTCTACTGGCGACCTGAGAATACAAGTTATTTTTGAAAGCGTAGATCAGCATTAAAGCTGGTGAGTTCATAAGTATTTTAGTGTCATTGTTTGTATAAGTTTGAAGAAAGAGCTTGTAAATGTTTGATGTAAAAGTTTGTAAGTGTTTTGATGTAAATGTTTGTAAACTTCCTAGAAAATCCTATATTTTCTACTAAACTAGTCTTCTACCAAGACTCAACTGTTCTCTATGTTTGTTCTTTTGTAAGAGTGTGAGTTTTCCCAAAGTATGACTATTATTACCAAAATATAGTTTTTCATTACCGTTTATGTGAGAAGATCACAATGTAAATGAAATGGAAAAATAAGGATGTACTGTAGTTTTATCTAGGTAACTACCAATATACTAACTACCTTAAACTTGTTAGTTTAATTAAGGTAAAATGTGATAAGATTGTAACCATACTTGATCAACTAGTATAACACGACGTTCGAGACATCGAAATGATATGACATTCGTCACTCGTAGACCTGCAGGTCCCACTGTAGCTAGCAACAAGTATATTGCTATGCCGTGAAGTAGTGGTTTCACATTAATGTTATCTTGTTCTTGTAAAAGGATTTATGTTATTTTCTATTCTTGTTATTGTATGTTCCTTTATGTTCTTGTTATTGTATGTTCCTTTCTATTCTAGTTATTGTATGTTTGAACTGACTCATGTATGAACTGACTCTTGTAAGTTTCATCGTTCTAGAAATAGTAAGTAGTAATCCTCTAAACTATACCTATTATAGTTTCTAGTAAGCTATGTAGATGAATGACTGTTCATGTTTTGTACACCTTTGCTACCCAAAGGTATTGAACTGATTGGAAGAACTTTTATATCTACATACATATACATAATATATAACTAAGATTTAAACAACATTCGGACAAACAACCGATACTCTAAGTCCACAACCAAACAAGGAACAGGAAATAAAGCGAGTTATCAGTCCTAAGCCCTTTCAACCTTATTTATATAACTATATCTATATAGACATGATTTTGACAATATATAAGCTTAAAAGAGTTTTGTAAAATGATAAAGAGTTTATAAAGTGATTTGAAACAGTTTGTTTGGTAACACAGTTTTGAAGTCTAAGAAATCCTTTTGTTTGATAGTTATAAATCACATGTGATTGATACTATAACTATATTGTTTTCTACTTGTATTCACCCCATAAAAGCATTTAAAATCATTAAAATATAAGTTTAGGGGTATGAACTC